AAAAAGTAGGTCAAAGTGTTACGGTTCTTAACGGTTTTCAACCGTCACTTTACCTTTTTTGCACAACGGCCAATGCCCAATTTTCTGTATTATCATTGGTTGCAACTCTGGTGCATTTTGACCAATGACAATAGTGAAAATGAGCAACAGCGTCCAGAATTATGATTGGCTGCAACTAGGTTGCCGTATTAACCAATCACAATTCAGGAGGCTGGGCGACAAAACTGACGCCCAGCCTCCTGAATTGTGATTGGTCAAATGGCAACAGTAATTGCAGCCAATCATAATTCTGGATGCTGTTGCTCATTTTCGATATTATCATTGGTAAAAATGCACCTGAGATGCAACCAATGATAATACAGAAAATGTGGCTAGGGTCGATTGTGCCAAATAAGGCAACGTGACGGTTGAAAACCGTTACACTTTGACCTACTTTTTTCTCAATAAAAGAAAGGTACACCGACCAGGCAGGCAGAGTGGGTCAGGATAGGTCCTCCACTCCAGCCTACTGCAGGCAAGTCGAGATCCTCAGATTGATTCAGTTCTCTGAGCCTCAAACCGAAACTTCTTGTTTCCATCTTTAAACCCTCAGCTTTAACCTTCGGCGAAGTTCCACCGTGAACCTTTGTCGGTTTTCGTGCGAAAACCAGCGGCCATTTCCTGAGGAATTATTTGTGCTTTTCGACTTAGTCGAAATTGCTAATATTTCCTTAGAGACGTCGCGAACTGAAGCCGTAGTAATCTGTGTCTTTTTGGACTTGTCCAAAAACTCTGATTATCACGGGTATTCGTCGTCTAAGAAATTTCTCTTGCAGGTGAATTCGCTAAGTTCCTTACTCAAAGGACTTAGACGCTATATTCGCAGATATCCTTAAGGGAGACTGCATAATAAAATACACCACTTGTGTTTTATTTCGTATCTTTTCACCTGATTCCTATCCTCCCGGCATCTGCAGTTCAGAGCCGGCGAGATATACCAAAACCGATCATATTTTGTTTCTCTTTCAGCGTACACTGCAAATAATTGGTAAGGAACTTTGATTTTTCTTACGGTAGATTTACATGCGATTTTACACTGTTAAAATTTCCAGGTGATTTCATAGTTTATGCTTTTTGTTTATCCTATGCTTTACAGGTACACAATTAAACTTTGAAAATATTTATCCATTTTGACTTTGATATATATTTCAGGAATTTTGATACACTGTAATAAATTATTGCTAAAAATTTCGGAAATAATATTTTGTTTTATTGCAATAACTTTTTTTACAGCGTAGTTTTATTACAATTTTATTGTTGATTATTCCGAATTACACTATACTACGTAGATTCCCACAGGTCTTAGGACTTTACGACACCTTTAAATATCCCTTCATTTTTGACAGCTGGGAATTCTCCATGTGTATTAATTTCATTTGTGCATGTAAATCAAATTTTCTTTAATTGATCTTATAACTATTTTATTATTATTTAATAACAATAAACATTTATATTTGTGTAACGAGGACTCTCTTCCTGAGGGAGCTGAGAGTCTTTCCCGTTACCGACAAAACAAGTCCTCTGGAGCGATCATTAACGCACCAATCAGCGTACGAGGAACATCTCCTGACATGGGAAAAATTGTTCATTGGTTGGAATAGGGGTTATTCCAACTTTTGGGCAATTTAAAATTTCCCATTGGCCGATTCTACGGGAAGTCCACTTTTCTACGTCATAATCCCTTAGAACAAAAGATTTTTGGATATAAAAAAAGGTGGATGTTCTGTAATCGGCCAGTTCGAGTTCACCTCGTAGTCAGAAGACTCTAGGTACGGTATTATACCCAACTAGAATCTGCCTTATTATTTTACCTATTTACTGTTTGATATATTGATTTTATATTTGATTTTTGTGTGTATTTTTATGTATTTTCTGTTGTGATATTCCTCTGGTCATACACAGAGAAAATACACCTGGTATTTTTGTGTTCGTGTAAGAAATTGACTGTCTTTTTCAAGACAGTCTCCTCTGTACCAGGCATATTTTGCTATTTCTATTTTATATTTGTGTGCATATCATTATTGATATTTTATTTGATATTTCTTTGTGTTTTGTACGTTTCTTACGGGAACCTCTCTGAGGTATAGCGTTTGAAACATACGCATTTAATATTTGCCATTTTTATTGTGCTATTTACTTTCGTCGGAGGATATATTCTTGTGTAGTTAAAACACTCGACAACCCTACAATTATTTTCTTATTTGTATGTTTCTTACGGAAACCTTTGAGGTATAGCGTTTGAAACGTACGCATTTATTTTGACATTTATTATTTGCCATTTTATTGTGCTAGTTATTTTTCGTCGGAGGATATATTCTTGTGTAACTAAAAACACTTGACAATCCTCCAATTATCTGTTTTATTTGTATGTTTCTCACGGAAACCTTTAAGATATAGCGTCTGAAACATACGTATTTATTTGTGTTTTTCTATTGCTATTTTATTATTGCTTTATGTTCTTTTTCTCTTGTTATCCTTCCGTAAGTCAAGGAGACACAAGACTTGTATCGGTATTTCTTCCGTAAGTCAAGAAATACCACCCTATGCTCTTTTATTTGTTATATGGTATTGTATTTCGATTGGTGCACACAATCTTCCATTTATTTGCATTTTTGTTTATTTCTTACATTGTTTATATCATATTCTTGTATAAAGACCATAATCTGTTCTTTTATTATTCTTATATTATTTCGAACGTATACAACCTCATTGGCTTGTGATATTTCCGTAAGGATCAAACACGAGTCATTGTTTTTGCCTGTATTTGTACCCTTAGTAGATAGGGTGTCGCTTCACCCCACTTTTTGTCCCCAGATCTAGGGAAACACTAGTCTGGTCTTACGGAGAATAGGGCAAATTTCCCCAGCCCCGTATCTCAAATTTCCCCAGATTACGACCCCCAGGCATTTTTTAATCAAAGTATTATTTATTAAATAAAAAATTGTACCGCGTGTAGGGCTCGACCCCGCGACCCATACGTTCATGACTAGGCGCCCAGCCTACTAGACCAATCGGTCATTTGAATGTGGTAGGCGTCAATAGGTATAAAAAAAAACAAAGTATTTATCAAAGGTGTAACGGTCACTTGTCATGGTTAGAACGGAATATACGAAGCAAAGTGTTGATATAACGTGTAAATACAAACCGCAGAGAATAACCCAAAAGCGAATGCAGCGAATACAGACTGCACTTTGAGAAGATGGTAGACACCCGCACTACCTCCCGATCCAACTCTCAGGATCGAACGAAGACCGCTGAGCCAGATACGGGCCATTCCAGCCCTATCGACGCCTCTCGGCAACATGGCGTCCAACTCCACAAGCACAAACCTACGACCCAAGCTCAACAAGCAGCAGTGGGAGCACGCAAAATAGAATTCTATTTTAGTGACGTCACGTTGCCTAGAAACCAGTACGCATCGTTTTGAAACGATAATTTGGTAACATGCCATATCGAAATTACCTTTACCGCTCCCCGTAACAACCACGCAAAATTGTTTCGATTCTTTATGTCAATACCAATAGTTTAAGGTTATGCATAGATAAGAGGAGGTTAGGTTACGTAGTGCCTTCGTGTTTGTGTTTTATGCTCCACGTTTTAAGCGTTTATCATAGTGTCTTTATTCTTTGCCAAAATATTTATTTTCAATAGACATGAGGGTAAATACAGACCATTGGGCAATTTTATTGGATTTTGCTGAAAAAAATCCATCAATTATAACAAATAGATATCCAGGATGCAACGGCAAAAGAAAAGGTGACAGAACTGTGGAAGGAACTTTCAAATAAATTAAATGCACTTGGATATGGTGAAAAAACTACAGCTGAATGAAAAAAGGTAATAATTGCTTTTGAAGAAAACAAAACATTACCTAAAAATATATTTTATTTCAGACGCTAATTGATTGGAAGTCCAAAGTAAAAGGAAAAGCTGCTAGTATAAAAACCTATGAAAGCAAGACTGGAGGTGGACCGTTATGTAGTCAGCAGTTGTCCTCATATGAACTTAGATTGCTAAATATAATGGGAAAGTCTTGATATGAGGGGAATCCTAAAAATGAGGAAGTGGGTTTAAAAAAAAAGAAAATTACATGTAAGTAGGAATGTTGAAAATAGTTTAGTATAAGTATTTAAGTAAATACAAAATGCAAATACATTGTTACTTGATTATTTAAAATAGAACTACAAAATAATTTTTAACAAAAGTATTTACATATACCTAAGATGAAGGTATTAAGTAATTTTTTTTTACATTTGAATATTTGTTCAACGATTCTAAAGTATTGGCTACTGAGTACCTACTCAACAAACATATAATAAGATTCAACCCTTTCATTTTTTTTACTAGAGTCAGTAATGTTGGACTTTTAACTTGTGGCGCACCATGCACATAGTTTTCTGTAGAAAAATTAAATGCTTAGCACCCTCAATAAGAACCTTAAAAGCATTTTCTACAATTGACATAGGGACGTGATATCCACTATGATGTGGAAAATATGAAAAATAAAATAAAAAATGTAATAAAACCATTTTGTATTTTACAAATACTAAATATGTATATTTTAAATAGAATACTAAATAAATTTCGAAAAAACTATTTAAAAGGTAAAATAAAAATAGGTATTTTGTATTTATATTTAAAATACATGTATTTCAAATAATTAACATCACTAGATGTAAGTAAGCTTTATTTCTGTAATAAGTGTAGATATTTTGTTTTAGGAAGATGTAAGCCTTGGAAACAATACCAATGTTAAACCCAAGTTGATCCTTCTTGATCCTAATAAAACCAAACCATATATTCCTTCAACTCGTCTCCCTGCTACCATTATTCACCCTTCATCTCATCTCCCTGCTACAATTGTTCACCCTTCAACCCATCTCCCTGCTACCATTGTTCATTCTATTAATCCCGAATCTGAATCTTTTGATCCCCAATCTGTACCCCAATCACCCAAGGATTTACCCAGTGTAAACCGTCCTTCTCTGCATGAAACCGTCTTGTCTTGTCTCCATGAAACCTGTTTTGATTGCAAGCTTGGCTTCTGGTGTGACGGGAAATTCAATCCAGGTATTTGACAGATTATGTACAATTAAGTCAGAAACTTCCTTGATACATTTGCTTACGGTAGTCTGTCCCATACATGGGTCACTTTCGTCACGCATCATCCTTCTTTCTATATTCTGTTCTAGAATTTCATGCTGTCTATTTTCCTCCTCGATTTCCGCAAACATAGTTGGTATAATGGAAGCATCTGGAAAAGAAAACCTATATAATATAATAACTTTACTTGAAATTAATTTATATACCTTTGCTTTGAATCCCACAGTTTTACAGTTTACAAGATAAAAATAAGAATATTTTCAACTTTTCCTGTATCTGTCAATTTATTTTAATAATCTTGGATAGAACACCAACATTTCTTATAATATTTTCAATATGAATAGTATATTCATGATGTTTACCGAATGACGGTTTCTACTATCGTATTCTATTTGGCGTGCTTCAAAAATGGTTTCCACAACGAAACTTTACGTGACGTCACTAAAATAGAATTCTATTTTGCGTGCTCCCATAGCAGGACAACCATCCACGAGCCAGGCACAACAACCCAACCTGAGACATGGATGACCACCCTGCTACAAGCCCTGACGGCCCTCTCGACAGTTCAACCCACAACCACGAGTAAACCCAAGATATGGACCTCCAAACCACCCATATTCGAGGGAGCAGAAACAGAGATCCCTAAACAATTCCTGACGAAGGCGGAGGAGTTCCTAACCTACCAGGAAGTGAACGAAAACGACTGGATTGACTACCTGATAGCAAACTCACTCCACGGACAAGCACGGTTATGGGCAGAGAGTCAAGTTACAGCCGAGATAGGCTACCAGACGTTTAAGACTCGCTTCCTAGAGAAGAACGACGACCCGGCACTCCTATCCGCCCTAACCGTGAAACTGTATTGACAAAACCAGAACAAAGAACCAGCAGAAGAATTCGTCACCCGAAAAGCAGCTCTCTGTAGACGGCTACTCCCAGACATCCCGAAAGATCAACGGTGTAGAGTAATTGCCAATCAACTACTACCACAGATTAGAATCTGCCTAAGAATCGGGATGCCTACAACAGAGGACAGCCTAAGACGAATTGCAAGAGCAATGGAATCCGACGCCCAACATTTAAGTCACAGAAAGCCGGACAGACAAGAACATCAACATCCGCCCAGGCGTTCCAAGACGATAAACGAATGGCGAAACCGCAACCCACACAGAAACCACAACAACCAACAACAAGACTCCCAGAGGCCGGAAAACTCCAACAGGGGCACCAATTAACTCCTGTTGAAGCAATGGTGCCCCAACTGAATCCGATCTACCAACGGTCGATGACAGCAGGACTCCCCAACCTCGATGGAAGGATCAATCAACATCGAGTCAAGATCCTAGTTGACACCAGCGCCTCCAGAAATTTCGTACATCGGAGGCTGATCCAGAGACGAGACCTGCAGATTCGACCCGGACAGATTCAGCTGGCATGCACGGGAAGCACGCCCCAAAGCCTAGGGACTGCTGAAGTCAAAATACAACTAGAAAACTTCTCCACCACCACCCAATGTATCGTTATGGAGAAGCTAAATCATGATGTTGTCTTAGGAATGCCATGGTTAGAACAAGAAGAGGCCAACGTAGATGTACCAAGAAATTGTCTGCACGTAGGCACCACTACCAGAGCCAAAGTGTACTGGAAAAACCATGACAGATCGCAATCAGCTAACCACAACTTAGAAGAGCATCAAGCCCCAGCTTTCGCCTTCCAAAAGATCAAACAGGTGATTGAAGAATACAGCGACGTATTTGACGACCGACTACGCCAGCCGACGACCAAAGCAACGGAAATGGAAATTCGGGTGATCGACAGTCGACCAATCAACATTAAGCCTTACAAGTACTCTACCGAAAAGAAGAAAATCATGTCAAGAGAGGTGAGAGAAATGCTAGCAGCCGGAGTAATCAAGCCCAGCAAGTCTCCCTACAATAGCCCGGTGGTTATTGTAACCAAAAAGGATGGTACCTCTCGCTTCTGCGCAGACTACAGAAAGCTGAACGAAGTAACGGTCGACGAAGCCACCAGCATGCCACAGATACATGACAGTATCAAAGAAATCGGTACCTCGAAAATATTCTCAACAATAGACCTGAAGAGCGGATTTTGGCAAGTCCCACTCCACGAGGATTCCAGTCCAAAAACAGCATTCAGCCTACCCGATGGCTCATCGTACGAGTTCTCAGTGATACCCTTCGGACTCAAGAACGGACCAGCAGTGTTCCAAAAGTTAGTCATATGTTCCATATGTTAGTGTTACATATATAGACAAATTCATCAAAGTTTGTATGGATGATATAATAATATACTCAGAAGACTGGAACCAACATCAGACAGACCTACACCTGGTACTGGAAAGACTCCGAACTCACGGATTATGGGCATCACTGAAGAAGTGCAAGTTTGCAGCCAACGAACTGGAATACCTCGGCCATAAAATCACTTCAACCAATACTCAGCCCTTGGAGAAGCACGTAGAAAAAATCAAAGGATTCGACACACCCCACACGATGAAACAACTCTTAAGTTTCATTGGCACCGCAAACTGGCTAAGAGATTTCATTCCCCGATTCGCTGAAATAATCACACCTCTAACAAATCTCACTGCAGGCAACAAAAGACGCTTGAAGTGGAACAACACAGCAGAGGACGCCTTCAAACAGATCAAACAAGAAATCGAGGGAGACCTACAACTCTACAGACCAGATGCCACCAGACCATTTAGCCTACAAACAGATGCTTCGGAATTTGGGATGGTGCAGTGCTATTCCAAGGGACACCAGAAAAGAAGGAAGTCATCGCCTACGCCTCCACCAAACTCAAACCGACAGAGAGACGCTACCATATCAATGAGAAGGAATGCCTTGCATTGGTATGGGCACTGAGAAAATATAAACACTTCCTCCAAGATCAACATTTCAACTTGTACACGGACAGCCAAGCCCTACTCTGGCTGAACAAGTACAAAGCGAACAAAGCCAAACTCTCAAGATGGGCCCTACTCCTCCAGGAGTTCAACTTCACCATACAACATATACCAGGCAAAGAAAACGAACTCCCGGACCACTTATCGAGAAACCCGACGACTGAGAGAGAGGAAGAAGATCTAGACGAGGCAGTGAACAGGCTAAGTTGGCCTACCCAAAACACAGACGATCAAGGCGGTGACTCCTTTCCACTACTCTGCATGTTGGAAGACGTGGAAGAAGGGGAAAACCATCCAATTTTAGATGACCTATCAGATCTACCACTTCAGGCGAGAATCAAGAGAGGACATACAACTCATCATGGGATGAGAAGATTTACCAGAAGATGGCACAAGGTCTCTAACAGGGGACCAAGGGGTCAAGCTGAAGAAGACCTCCTCAAAGAATTCGTAGTAATAGATGATGCGGTCTATTACAAAATGAAACCAGACCATAATGTACTAGTCGTGCCATTACCCTACCGCACGGAAGTCATGCAGTTCTACCACGATTCGGACGAGGCAAATCACCCGGGACATGAAGAGACAATCCGAGCAATCAAAAATATTTACTACTAGCCCACACTCACGAAGGATGTCAGAAACCACGTCCGATCCTGTTTCACTAAATCAGCAGCCAGACAACCAGCAGCCCCGGTCGTCCCCAGAGAGCCCAGCAACTCATGGGAAAGGGTCGCTTTTGACGTTCTCGGACCCTATCCAGCAGCCCGAGGGACCAGGAACAGATTTTTTCTACTAGCCACAGACTGCCTCAGTAACTGGGTAGAATCTAGATGCGTGCAAACCGCAAAAAGCCGGCAGGTGATTACGTTCCTCCAAGAAGAGATATGCAGCCGCTGGGGGAAACCAAGTGTCATCATCACAGACAATGGGTCCCAATTCCGCACCGACGCCTGGGAGAGGTTCCTGAGACGAAACAATATTCGAGCCGAGTTCAGCCCCATATACCACCGAAGGTCCAATCCGGTGGAAAGACGAGTCCAGGAACTGAAGAAAGGACTCCGGGCAGGTGCAAATCAGCAGATGACCCAAGATGGGACACCTACATCCCAGACATCATTTTCAGTCTAAGGACACGGAGGAACGAAGCAACCCAGGAAACACCTGCCGAGCTACTACTTGGATATCTACCCAGAAGATCGGAGGAAACAGAACGGGAACGCAATACCGCAGCCAGACGACAAGAGAGGGTCGAGCAAGCAGTCCAAAAAGCTACGGTATATGCCAGAAATCTGTTCCCGGATAATATAAACGCCCCACCAGCCAGAAAATTCATCCCTGGAGAGCAAGTACTCGTGAGGAACCACAACAAGGGGAACTTTGGAGCCACATGGACGGGTCCACACACCATCCTGAGGATACTAGGTGACCACACGTACGAAGTGCACCGGGACCAAGACATCAACAGGACCATCCATGTGGACGATATAAGGCCTGCTTCTCCACCCAGGGAAGAAAATGAAGACTAAAATGACTTTGTAAATTGTAAAATGTATTGTAAATCTTTTCTTTACTGTTCTATACAAAATATTTGTAAACTTATGTTAAATAAAGCAAACCGCCACCTAGAGTCTTCAAAGGGGGGGATGTCCTCTGGAGCGATCATTAACGCACCAGTCAGCGAACGAGGAACATCTCCTGACATGGGAAAAATTGTTCATTGGTTGGAATAGGGGTTATTCCAACTTTTGGGCAATTTAAAATTTCCCATTGGCCGATTTTATGGGAAGTCCACTTTTCTACGTCATAATCCCTTAGAACAAAAGATTTTTGGATATAAAAGAAGGTGGATTTTCTGTAATCGGCCAATTTTTTAAACATCATACCAGAAGCCCAATTTGGCTTCAGATCAAAACACTCCAGCGAGCTACAAGTACTCAGACTAACAGAGTACATAGCAGCTGGATTCAACGACAAACAGTACACTGGAGCTGCATTCCTGGATGTAAGTAAAGCTTTCGAGAGAGTCTGGCATAAGGGACTATTATACAAAATGAGAGATTACGGGTACAGCGGAGCAATGACAAGACTGATCTCTTCTTACTTGAGCAACCGCAGTTTCAGAGTCTGGATAGGACAAGTCCTGTCCGAACTCGGGAACCCGGAAGCTGGAGTACCACAGGGACCGGTACTGTCACCTCT